AAACATAAATTCTTCTTTCAGACGCTAAATGTTCCCACATGCAAAAAAAGTCCCTTTTACTCAAAGTAGAATTCTTGAGCACTTATAAGATTATTGAACAGTTAGTTATCTCAAGATGTCGTAAACACCCGTTTAGTTCACAGACTCCGTATATTTACAATATTTCACTGAATTTTCTTATTTTATGTATAAACTAAAAAATTGAAATTGATGTTATTTATCGAAGTTTTTTTTTTTGTATCTTATGCATGATAAAGTGACAAATTATTTTTCGGTTTAAAGCGAAGACAAGCCAAAAGAAATAACTAATATCCACTTTGGAATACATTATTGAACAAATTTTCATTTGTTATGCACGTATCTTGTTATGTAATTGTTACTTTTTTATTTATTATAGAAAATTTGTATGAAAGATTATCTAGACTTGGTATATGTTTGTGTGAAACAACTACAATTGTATTAATTTCTGATTATCAGATTATTATAAATATACGCAATTCTCATGTTTTTTTAACCAAAACACTTGATGTCCTGCTATCACATTGAAATGCAATATTTAGAAAAGCTTTACAATTTTTTTTCGGTACACGGATAAGATCTATGAAATAATGGCAAGCAAAATTAGATATGAATGTGAAAATATTTAATCTGACCATATGAAATATGAGAGGGAGCTGTGGAAATGGCGATGTAGTAGCCCAACAGCGTTTGATAAGGGGATCCTATTTTGATGTTCATCGTGTTTTGTTGTTTTTCTTTTTTATCGTTTGATTTCAGTCATCGTTGTTGTAGGAAGATGTGCATGTCGGTGTTGCTTTCATGTATTTGTGTGCATGGATTAAAGACACTGGACAGGAGGTGTTCACCCAAATAAAGTTTTGCAAGGAGTCGATTGCTGTGTCAATTTGAGTTTAAAATAAATAGTTATTAATCCGCCTGCTCTCAAAGTCATGATGAGTTTGTGCTACATTTTCTCAGAAATAAAGAGTCCTCTCTAATTTTTCAATTTTGCTTAGTTTACACACATTTTCAAGAAGTGCGATTGTGCTGCAACACCGAGTTGATTCCTATATTCTCTGACGTAGGAGTAATGTATGGTGCACCCGCATTTAAGAAGTACTATTATTTTCTATTAAGAAGTCTTTCCGTTGATTGACTCGCGTCTTGAACCAAATAGAACTAGATGTGGATCTATTCTGACTAAAACCGGTGCTCTATACTAAATAGGAAACGTCTATATCACCCAAAAGCTCTAAGCATCACCACGTAACTGGTCATTCTCTTACAACGTACAAAGTCTGTAACCTCTAGATATCATCTACTCGACCAATGTAGGCAATTGCTGTCGATGGCCTATCCTACACAATATGCGAAGTTACAGCAATATTTCCACGGAAAAAGTAGATACTGTCTTGTTAGAGAACAACAAAAGGTAACTAGAACGTAACAACTTAGTGAGTTTTTCTGGACCACGTTTTTATGCCCAAACTACATAGAAACAATATATGAAGAAATAAAAATTCATATAGTATTAAAAGCAGGTATGAAACATGAAACCTACATATCACAAGAGTAATCACGTGTGGTGCACCAGAATTTAGCAACTTTTGCACCTAATTAATAGTCGTTCTCTAAATGCATTGAGTTACTAAGTTTGATTATTGGGGTAGAATTAATCGTATGTTAAAATTCCCAAGAATCGAGATCTAAGATGAATTTCTTGACGTTAGACAACTTTTTTCTATTTTACATATTTCTTAACAGTGTTTTTTTTTGTGTGTTTTTTTCAGAGTCAGTGAACTTTATGTGGATAATCCTGGAACCAATGATAAAATATTAGTTCGATTAAACATCTCTCTGCCTCGCCTGTCATGCGATGGTATGTATATATTAATTCAGTTTTTTTGTTGTTGTTTTTTAAATTGGTGAACGGTTGTAATATTTAACCATAATTTTCCATTTAGAACCAAACGTAGTGGAAATCAAATATAAGCCAAGAAAACTTATAGATTCCAAAATACACGGAAGCATTGCGGAAACTTATAGATTCCAAAATACACTGAAGCATTGCGGAAACTTATAGATTCCAGAATACACTGAAGCATTGCGGAAACTTATAGATTCCAAAATACACTGAAGCATTGCGGAAACTTATAGATTCCAAAAATACACTGAAGCATTGCGGAAACTTATAGATTCCAAAATACACTGAAGCATTGCGGAAACTTATAGATTCCAAAATACACTGAAGCATTGCGGCAGATAACTAGTCAGTTTTTAAGTACAGATTTATGTAACTCCATTCATTATGTAAACTATTTAAGTTTTGAAAGTATTTTTCTAAAGTTTTGTCAACTCGGTAATCCAAATTATCTTAAGTGTTTATATATATATATATATATAATATGCCTTTGTATCTTATACAAATAATATACACTCGTACCATTGTGATCAAATAAGAAATATGCAAAAAGGGATAGGAAGTAATCCACGTGCATAAGAAGTCTACAACGTTATGGTATTGGCTAGCTGTCGCCTTGGGTTAGCCTTCCTCTACCGGGAATCCGAGTGTCAATGGTTCGTATACCGTTGTCGCGAACTCGCGCTCCTTCCATTGTGTCCGCGTGCGCTATAAGGTTACTGTCAAATCCAACTGCAGTGCTTCTAAACCTTTTCTAATATCATTCACCCCTTATAACTTTTCACAACAATACACTCACCCAAGTTAAAAGAAGTACTAAGTTAAAATGTAAAATTATTTATTATGATTTAAATATACATCAAGTTATTAGGTCGTCAAGAGATTAATGTCGCTTTTTTGAGATGAAAAAAAACTAACAACTTGTATATCAAAACTAAACATTTATTAAATGAAATAGTCTCCATTCTTATCGACGATTATTTTCCTTACAATCAGGTTGTTAATGCCCTGATTAAAGAAATCATTTGACTTTGAAGCAAAAAACATGTTGTTGTTCCCCTTAACCCTTCCATATGGTGTTGTAGCGAACGAAGAAGATGGTAATCTGATGGTACCATATCTGGAGAATATGGTGGTTGGGAGAGAACTTTCCAACCCAACTCCATAATCTTGTGTTGCGTTAAACGTGCCACATGTGGATGTGCATTGTCGTGAAGAAGAAAAACACCTTTCCGATTGA